CCACAGACTTCTGAACAGATTATAAATAGCCACTTTATGTTAAAAAGGGGCCCTTTTCTCAATTTTCCCTGTCAGAGTATTTTATGGTTTTTGAAATTTTCATTTACCAGGTGTAACAGGTGTGTGACAGGTATAACTTGTCTATCTATGCCCACATGTAAAACCTCACCACTGCCAGAGAGCCTATGGGCACACTTAAAATACTTACATAAACGTGTGAAAACTGCATGAATTCTGGCTGTAAATAAACCCTGTTTTCTATCATGTAGGCCAAACCAAACCAAACTAAACCAACAGGAGTATTTCATTTTTCATCTTAATATTATTTCCTTGGGAAAGCCTTATATGGTCTTCCCAGGCAAGAGGAACTGTCCCCTTGCTTCACTCACCTCCTAATCTCCTAAACCCTCTTGTTGTAGCACTGAGAATGTGTAGCTATGTAGTTACAGGCTACTCAATAAGTATTTATGTAGAGGAATTTTAATCCAGCAACACGGCTGTGCTGGCAAAGGATCTTAACCGAAGGTCTGTGTGGAATCTGGGTGGAATGCAGACATGCCACACACCTTTAATCCCACTGGCTGGAATATAGACACACCATTAGTACACACCATTAAGGTAAAATTATTTTGTAGAAGGAAGCAGCCATGTTTGAGAGTGACCTCTAAGTGAGGGGCAGACAAAGTGATGAATCAGAGAAAGATTTGCTAGAATGAGTCAGAGATAGGATATGACAACTCTCACAGGACAGTTAGCATAGGAAACAGAAGCTATTTAAGAGTAGTGAAGTCCAAGCGAGGATGTTAGTTGGGAGTCAGTGCAGAGGAGTTGAGGTTGTTTATGAGTTCATGCAGTTCAGTGTAGATCAGAAGAGGCAGTCGAAGCCAGAGAATAAGAAGAAGCCAGAAGAGTTAGAACAATTGCCAGGGTTATTTTGAGGCCAAACAGTGAGAAGCTAAGAGAAGCCAATTTGAATCAGTCAGCTTGGAAGATCACATTGTATGGAGGCTAGAAAATTCCAGTCCTAGGACTAGAGATTGTTAGAACAGAGAAAGAAAGGCTCTGGGCTCAGCCCAAGCTGTGTATTTGCACAGCTTTGGTACGGCTCTCATCTCATCTCTCCATCTGAGGAATAAAAGCAGCCTTTACATATATATCCATTGCAACGCAAGTTCCTTGAAGACAGAGTCAAAATTCATTTTGTTCACTGTCATATCTAATCATAACAGAGGTGTTAAGTAATGAGTTAACTCATTTTAGAGACAAGAAGTCTGGTTTTCAACACAGAGAAATATGGATTATCCCAAATTCAGTGATTTTGATTCAAAAGTTCTGTTACATAACTTTTACTGCCATTACATCTTCAATTCTACAAACCATACAGAGAACCATGCAGTTACCATTGCGTAGCTTTAGAACAAAAAATAAAAGTCTAAACTTAAGAGAAGAGGATCATATAAAACAGTTAGTGGGGACTGGGCCTCACTGAGGAACTGGGGTTTAAATCAAGAATAAAAATTAGAATGGACAAAGAAAGGTGAAATGAGGCCCCCAGGGAGAAATAACCATGATGCATTTAGTCTAATGATGCAACAGAGTTGGTAGTTGAAAAGGCACAAAAGGCTAGCATGGCTGAAGAGGAGGAGCAGAAGTGAGAGGCTAAGGCTGGCTGGGAGCCAGGGCCAAGTTTTACAAACATGTACAAAGATGAGAATTTTCTTCCTTAACTAACAGAAGAGTAAACTACAGAGAAGTTTCAGGTAGGGGATAACTCAATCAGCTTCTGCATAAGACACTACACTATTGACTACACTATGAGAGATCTGAGATTGAGAAGGCTTAGTGAGTACTTGGAGATGGGTGAAGACAGAAAGACATTCAAGATGATGCTCAGATAGGACCATAGTGACCTCTACCAAAACAGAAATACAATCAGGAAGTTCAGGGGCACAATTCAACTAAGCATACAATACCTTCTCAATACCAACAATTATTGATTTTATGATTATATTAATAATGATGATTAAAAAGTGGTTGCTATAGTTACAAAAAATGGTGAATTTTATGGATTTCAATATACTCTGGTCTGACTGATGTCCCTAATCCTGTGTGAAGGCACTTGTGAATCTGGTGTTTGACAATGGCATTTCCCTTCCCCTCCCCTCCTCCCTCCCCCCCCACATTAATTAATTAATTATTTAATTCATTCATTCATTCATTCATTCATTCATTTATTGAGACAATACTCATGTAGTAAAGACTGGTGCCTTAAGTTTGATATTCAGATCAGGCTGGCCTCGATCCTTTGTTTTCCCTGTCTCTATTTCCCAAGTGCTGGGGTTACAGGCATGCATGCTCCTCCATATCTAACAGGTCTTTGGGAAGAGAAATTCCAATGGGCAAGTGAGGGTAAGTTTAGGATAATATATGAGAAGAGCATGAGGTGGTGGGGACCAAGGGGGTAAAGGAGTGGATGGTGGTGGGTGGGAGGTGGTGACTTTTTGTTCCTTGACAATTCATCTCCTTTCCATAGATATAAAATAATTTTAGATAAGATAGTAGAATTAAGGCCCAAAGTCTATGCTAGCGAAACATCCTTCAAAGTATAGTGCTATGGGGGGATTCAATGGAGAAGATTGGCCTTGGTTTGCTTTGTAGACTGAATGGTGCATTAATGTAGATACTAAAAAAGGATTTTTTTTTACAAACTGGGTAAGGTACAGTAAACAAACAGATTAGGATTACATTTAGAGCTCTGATTTATGTCTTATTGTTACACCCACATTTATTACTATATCTTTGCCTTGTGCTGTAACTTATCTTATTCATTTGCAGCCTATTCATGTAGCTAAGAGTGTCTACTACAATGATTATGTGACAGTGCTGACAGTGTATCTCACTTGAATTCTGTAGAGCTCCTACCGGCTGCAGGCTCATGTGAGGAGGTAGCTAAGCCTTCAGTGTGATGGACTCATACCTTTGTTATTTAGAGACACAAGTGAAGCAAAGACCATAAAGGAAAAGCTACATGGTGACAATAATAATCACTTTTCTCATTATCTTGTTCATTCTGGTAAAGATCCAGAGAACAAGAGGTGTTTGGCAAAATGTTAAATGCACTAAAAGACAGATCCATTCAGAAGTGTTGAGTCCTGAGGTGAGAAACCTTTCATTCCAAATGGACATCTTGCAAGGAGATATCTATAGAGCTAAAGTAAAGATCAAATTTAAGAAACATCCAATTGTTTGGCCTATTATTTAAAAACTACTGTATTTCATTTTCCATCTTACACATATCTATTCAGTATCATTTAAATATAATCAAGCAAAGATGTATATATCATCAAACTGTAAGGATGCTATTTTTAAATGGAAAAGATGGATATTAAAACTGTTAGAAAGATTTGACATCCAGGGATAGAGAGATAGCTCAGCCATGAAGGGCACGAGCTACTCTTCTAGAGGACCTGGGCTCACGTCAGCACCCACACGGCAGCTCCCAACTGTCTACGACCCCAGCCTTAAGGGGATCTGGCTTCCCTGGGCACCAGGCATATACATAGTACACAGACATACACACAGACAAAGGCACTCATACACTTACAAAGTTTGTAAAAAGGACTGTCTGACATACAGGTTACTTATATTAGGATACTTGTGATTTATAGTAGAACTTACAAAAGTGCTTAAAGTATTTTGATGATTTTATCTATACTTTTATTTTTATGCTTATTAAACAGTAATTTAGCAGAATTTAACTTTACAACTCCCCTTGTCTCCTCAGTGTGTGTCTGTGTGTGACTGTGTTTCTGTGGAAGTATGTAAGGCAGATCAACATGTGACATTTTCCACTAACACTGTCTATTTTAATATTTTGAGGTAGGTTTCTCCTGACCCAATGCTCACTTATTAGCTGGACTGGTTGGCTAGTGAGCCCTTGATCACTCTGTTTTCCCATGTCCTAGTCCTGTGACTACAGATGCACATAGCCATACCTGGTTTTTCACATGGGCACTGGGGATCTGAACTGAAGTTCTCAGCCTTGTGCAACAAACATACTACCTGCTGAGTGATTTCCCCAGCCCTTTACTTTCTTCTGCTTTTTAAGCCTAACCATATATACATAGATTAAAAATGAACAGCTTTACTGCTTTGAGTATTTTGTAATATTTGTCTAAAATAACATAATTCACCAAGATATAAAGTACTCTAATTCACTATAATAAAATGAGCCTGAGCTGAATTATTTCCGCATTTGTATCTATTGCTCATTATATTAACCAATTCTTATTCATGTTCTTGTAAGAATCACTAATTTCTGATGCTCAGTGTGGATAAGTCATTTTTATAAATACCTAGAAATTCTAAAAAGACCATTAGTGATCAAAGGCATGGGCTTGAAAATCAGACCAAGTGTTCAGTAAAGTGTTTACTAGCTACAGAACCACTGAGCATCTCCGTTTACTGCACTGGCCTTAGGTGCACACTGACACAGTAGGAAAAAGAATCACTTAATTTCAGAGGATTATAATACATTGCTAAGTGTTTTATTATATGCAAAGGATTAGAGCCATGCTTGCAACATAATAAGACTGATCAGTCACCACTGTCACCATCATGGCCATTCTGAAGCAAAACCATTCATTTCCTTCTTGAAGGCTAGGAAAGAACCTACGAAATACAGATTTAACTTTTGGGTTTGGGGGGAAGCATTGGTCTTTATCTCCTATCAATAGATTTTCTTTCTTTTTTTTTTAAATAGTATTTTTGTTTTTAAAGTCTTGTGTTTCTCAAAGTTTTGTTTGTTTTGTTGTTGTTGTTATTGTTGGTACATATAATGAAACAAAACATTCTACTGACATGATAGAATCTTCAACCTTAGAATTCTGTGATTGAATCCACACATATAATTAGTCCCTGTAGGACTGAGGCTGCTTCAAACATTTAGAAGAATAATAAAAACACAAACGGTAACTCACAGCCGTTGCAGTCCCTCTTACCTCGCCCATCACTGCTATCGGTGTCTCTCCTGTCACTTGAGCAACACGGTGCTCTACTAAGTAGAACATGTACTCATCATAGAGTAGCCGGATCAGGTGAAAGGAGCCAAAGCTAGCAGCACTACGTAAGGTTAAGTCCCGGATAACCATTGAGCTGTTCAAGAGAAAGGACAGAGAGCAAGCTACAATTAGTGACCACAGTTATAGTTTGATGTGTTAGTACTTTTAAAAGCAGTAAAGTTGGGAGACTAAATGAAAGCATAGGCTTTTATAGTATAAAACCTGTGACAGAACAATTTCATTGTTGAAAGCAGTTAGCCCAACTCATTCCAATGGTAGGAAAAAGGTCCTGCTGTCTAAGCCTTGCCCCTGATCTTCTAGATCCAGAGACAGGTAGAACAGACCCTTCCTCATTAATGCCACGTTTTCCCCTTCTGTTGTACTAACAAGTGGATCAGAGCTGAATAAAAACAATTTTGGAAAGGCTGAAAATTCATCCCCGGTATAAAAACAAAATCAACCCGAAGTGAGCATTTGATTGATCATGATTGACATTTGTCATTGCTAAATGACAATGATCTATAGAGTGTACTTTGTGCCAGGTTCCATACAAAAATACTAGCCGACGTTCCCTGAAGCCATCAGTCTAACTGGAGGTATGTGGTGAATAGTGACTGATTTTCATTTAAATTAAGGTGATTTTTCCCCCAAACTAGAGACAGGAAGTATAGATGGATTAAGAAAGCATTAAATCTGAAAACATGAACATTTAATGTATATATTATACAAATATGAACTATATTTATAGAATACTAACAATAAACTCTTTTACATTAAAAGTACAATAAGTCCAAATAAAATTGTGGCTTTACCAAAGATGTATCAACTAATTAGCTTGTTTCATATTTCAAATATTAATATGTTATCTGTGACTCACAGTGAGAATAATGTATATATTTATGCATGTGTATTTTATACCAGTTTTCACTCAGTTGCCTTTTTTTGAAGATATTTTTTGGCCTATAAATACTACAACTGTCATTATATTCTCAGGAGGAAGACACAAAGTATCACAAATTAAAGCCTTATTATATAATAACCAATTATAAAATTCCAGGCATATAAAAGAATAGCAGGTAGGCTTTACTTTTGTTTTCTGCTTCATTTTTCAACCTTTTAAAAGCAGAGATTTAAATCCATCAGATTCCTTACATTCACTCTGGCAAGTGACAGAGTGTGAGCTGACATCTGAGGGCAGAAGCTCCAGGCTCTCTTTGCTACTTGACTCTTAACCTCAAATAAGCAATTTCCCTGAGATTGTTTTCTCTAGAAAAAGTGAAAGCAGTATTTTAGTCTTAGCTAACATACAGTTATTTCAAGGATAAAATAATTAAAGAAAATGAAAACAACTTGTGAGTAAATAGAATATAACAACTATAATGTATTATAATACAGGACAGTAAGTATTATAATTTGTTTATGAAAGACTGAAGGCTTCTTATTTAGTTTTTTAATCATTGTAAAAACAGAAGAAAAGGTAAAGCTATCCAGCTAGCCAAACCCACTTACAGTATGCCTTAAGACAAACAAACAAACAAACAGACACAAACAAAGCAAGCCTGGGTCTCACGCTGTAGCCCAGGCTGGCCGAAGTCGTCTTATGTAGCTTGGATTGGCATCTCCATCAATCTTCCTGCTTCAGCTTCCTATCTAGGAGGTTACAGGCGGCCTTTGCAGTCACGCTTATTACAACCACATAGCCGTTTTTAAGGCTTAAGAGTTGGTCTGAGCATCAAATGAAGCAACCTATAACAGTTAGTTCCCTTTATCTACAGTTTTGATTCTCTTGGCAGTTTTAGCTACTGTAATATGAAATGCAAATTCTAGAAATAATTAACAACTTTTAGCCCACATGTCCTTCTGCACAGAGTTATGAAATCTGCGCTCTGGCCACCACCTCCTGGGAAGCAGCTCATCTTACTGCCCAGCAAGTACAAGTTGTATAATGGCCCCAGAGTACAAGATGTCAACAAGTCAGTATACCACAAAACTGCAAAACAGCTCCTTAAACTAAGAAGCTTAAAATGGAGGCTGTTAACTTTAGAGAAAAACAATATTGACTGCTGAGGTAAGAATGATGGGAAGAATGAATCTTATCTGTGCAGTTGAGAGAAAGGGAAATAACTATGTGCTAAGTTTGCTGTCATACGTCAAACTGCAAAGGTCATAGCTACAGCTTGCAGTTAGTGCTTATCATTAACATGCATAGATTGGGCAATATTGGTGATTTCAAGCTCCTACCCTGGAATATAGCCTCATGAGTAAGGAGGATAAATACACTCCATGACATGAGCACGGTCATGGCAATGATGTTAATGTCTCTGGCTCAGGGTAATGGAAAGGTCTTCCTTGTCTTGGACTCAGGGTAACAGCAAGGCTTCCTGGGTCAGACTCAGGACAATGGCAAGGCTTTTCTGTAGTCTGAGTACAAATGTTGGCAAGCTATTGACCTTCAGCTAAAAACAGTATTTACAAAGAGTACTAACCATACCTTCCTTGTTCCAGATAACTTTATGTTTATGTCCCCCTGAAACTCCTCCCCTTCAGAGACCCCTTCCATCCTCCAAGATATGATATATATATAATAAATATGTTGAGTATCAGGGCTACTGGTATGTCTACATCTAAGCGTACAGTCTATCCGACTACACATTTCAATTATGCTGTCTTTTCTTAATCTCCCATTCCTCCCAGTAAGGTTTCCAGGATCCAGCCATGCATATCAGGGCACCTAACACACGCGGTATCTTAATAAAACTGATCATTACTAGAGTACAGCATATACAGAGTTAATATTATATTCATTACAATAAACAGTTCCAGGTAATGGTTTCTGTGTCAATAAAATACCTAAACCTCGTAAGTGTTTGTAAGTAATACATAAATGTATTATTACAAATGGAAGAATAGTTCATTTATGTGGCAATGATACATTATCATCCACCTGTCAAATAATTTACATGAATATATATATGTATATATAGTAATTTTTGAAAGGAAATATTTTTTCTAAGAGAAAAATTTAAAGCAGAGAATTTTCTGTATACAAAAAAGAAAAACAATGTAACATAATGATTAAATATCAAATAACATTGATCTCAATGTCAGTTATCTTGAAAGGAATCTAAGAGCTGAGTATTCAGTCATAACCCCAACCATGTTGCTGAACGAAGACAGTAGATATTTAAAATGCAGCCCAGGGATGACGAGTAGCTAACAAAGAAACAAACACAAGACTAATCTTATTCTAAAGTAAACACATACAGGTTAAAGAGAATACCTGTTGTCTATTGCACTATGAGATTGGATATTAGACAGGGATAGAAAAACAACAACAACAAAAAAACCCTACTGAATCTACAAGTGTTCCTGAGGCTTCTGTAGAAGGAACAAGACAGTAGTTATCAAAATGTCAACCCACTGGCCTCTGTAATTCTAATTCTAAAAATGTAGACACTGAGTGAAGAGAGTTGTGATTGCAGCAACCCGCCCCTGCCCCCATCTAGGAATGCTTGGATGGCCTTCACTGTGGTCACTAGGAACACTCTCTTGCCTTATTCACAAAACACAAAAGAAAACAAATAGTCCACATAAATTTTGCATTTCTGGATTTTCCAAAGTCAATGTTAGCCATTCTAAGGTAGCTTGAATAAGAAGGCAGCCCTGATGGAGCAGAGCATGTCTGCAGCAAAGTAACACCTGCTGGCAGCAGATTCCTTGTCAGGTTGTTTCTATGTGACTGTGCACATACGTGTGAAGACAATTTTACAAATTACTAGGTTAAATATCAGATTTCTAAACATGAAGGGACTGTATATGTGGCTGTCAAACTTATAATATCCTCTGTGAATTTACAATTTTAATTACAATGCTAAAACATAGAAACCCTTTCCAATTATGCTTCTTTGATGATTTATGCCTCAGTTTTCATTACTCAACAGTTCTTATGCCTCAGTGAAAAGCAGTTCAGATATTACCCTGCCTACCAGCATGAGGTATGCATCTACTTGAGTGTCTCTCTCCTCAGTGGCCCTGAACTGTAAGCCTTCAAATCTTTTTGAAATGAAAATAATAACCATAATAGTGTCTAATAATAACAAGCCAATTATCACCAACTCAGGGAGTACAGAGGGCAGGCAAGCGATGATCTACTGGGTTTGTGTATCTGTAGAGAACATGAAATATAAGTGAGTAATTTTCTTTCTTTTCATGATTCCTACAATAGATCTCTGTGGTGACAAAGGCTCCAGGGGTGTATTTCTAAAATGATGTCAACTGAATGCAGAAAAAAAAAACACAGGGAGAAGGGCAGGCCTGCCATTAAACATAGGACATAAGAGGAAGTGTGTGTGTGTGTGTGTGTGTGTGTGCGCGCACATCTTTCTTTTATAGTTGTATAGGGTGGATATTTGCCTTTGGTCATGGGAGATTTGAAAACAGTCAGACAGTGTAGCTGGCTCATCTACTAGTCATGAGCACATACATCACCTATATAATTTTCTGTGAAAATTCAGATGAACAAAATATTGAATTTTAAGAGATCAAGAAAACATATTTCTGTCACACATGTTGGCACATGCCTTTGATTGTAGCACTGTGCAGGCAGAGCCAGGTTGATCTCTGTATGAGTTCAATATCAGCTTGATCTATATAACAAGTTCTAGGACAACCAAGGCTATGTAGAGACACTCTGCCTGAAAAAAAGGCAAAAACAACAATAAAATGTATTTCCAAATTAGAGTTTTGAATTATATGACAAATGGATTCCTATTTCATGAGATGATAAGTTAGATAATTTAAATTTTTGATGATGGTATTTGATCCTTTAGTAAAAATACAAGTGTTTGCTTCTTTATTTGGGGTGATCCTACTGACCTGGGCCTAAAGCCTGTATGTACTGAGAGATATAAACTGCCCTAACTTAGGCTCTGTGCAGGGATCTATCTGACCATTCCATTCTACACAGATGTGGCACAAGTCCTGATCAATAATAGCTCATAAATGAGGGGCTAACAAATCATTTCAATTTTTCCATTATACATCATATAATTAGTAAACCCTTTCCCTTTAGGGCTGATTACATGTCCACAAAGAAATATGTATTTCCATCTGAAGTATTTTAGTCTAAAAGGCTCATAATAAGTAAAACATGTTACTACCTACTAGATACTAGTCATGCATCATAATCACCAGAAAATGAATGATTCTAATTATCCTTCTAAATCCTACCTCCCAACCAGCAAGAGTATAAAAAAGTGAGTCAGCGGGTCTCAGAAGTAACCAAGGATTAAAAAGAACATGTAAGTTCTACTCTCTGATATTCAGCCAGGTTTTAAGACAAATACAATTCACAGAATTAACACATTAACTGGGTAGTTTCGAGTGCAAACTGTAATTGCCTGGAGGATTTCAAAGCTCAGATTACTAGTACTAGGCCTTTCCTCTATGGATTCTGACTCAAGTAGACTTGGAGACTGACCTACAGTGAACATTTCTAATGTGTCTAAGTGGATGTGAGGCCATGGTCTATTGACTACAGTTTGAGAGCCACTGAAGAAGGAACAAAAGAAGGGTATCCACAAGAAGGCAGGACCAGAGGGTGGACTAGAGACCTTTTCCGACTGTTGCTGAAAACATCACCTAGACTGGTGGTTCTTAACCTTCCTAATGCGGAGGCCCTTTACTATAGCTCCTCATGTGGTGCTGACCCCCAACTAAAAACTTTTTTTGTTGCTACTTCATAACTATAATTTTGCTACTGTTATGAGTTGTAATATAAATGTGTGTGGGGTCTTAGGTGACCACATTTGACAACTTAAAGGGGATCATGACGCACAGGTTGAGAAACACCAATTAAGATTGACTCTCAGAGATAACTCTCTGAAAACTTCTCAGCTTTGAGAGAGGATCAGTCTCCTTTCCTAGCAAAAAATGTTCATTTCAATAAATTTCCCATTTGATTTCTACACATCATAGTCATAGAGTTGGGTATCCCACCAAGTCTAAGCGTACTTGTTTTTTATGTGACTAGTGTGCGCATACACACATTCACAGAGCATGAAGAAAACTCAGTGAAATTGTGATGCTACCTGTAGAAAGACCACTTGAGCAGAAACTGCCGGGCAGCTTTAGGGAAGCTGGGTCTTCCTTCATAGGGCTTCAGTGCTTGCATCATCACATTGTCCAGCCAAGCCGCCCACTGCTCCAGAGTGCTCTGCTGCTGCAGGGTCATCTTGAAGTCTGTTTCTAGTCTCTGAACCATGTTGTCATCACACTGGCACACCCAGGAAGCCTGCTCCTAAGACAGGTCACAGATAGAAAGGAAAGTTCAACTCAGCAGCTCCTCACAGAGCATCATCATGGAACACATGTAGGGTGTCACAGGGAAGACATCAACAGGGGACATGAACAGTTCATGAACCATACTTAAGCACTCAACTCGTTTACCATCTTCAGGGCTTAGTGTCTTTCCCTGATCTTTACAGGATGCAGTATCTGACTGTGACTGGGTGTTTTACTCTGATTGGGCCTTGTGAGAGACTAGAATGGTTAATAAGGAAGATAGGTGTCTAGACCAGCAGCATGTAGCGCCTGTTTTCTCACTACTTCAAGGTTTTATCTACCCCATCAGATAAAAATTTGAAACCATTTTAGAAGATTTAGAGTAAGTCAGACAAATAAATGGATTCAATTGGCCAAAAGTGGTCCCTAAAGATTAAAAGAAAAACAAACACTGAATGGTACTAGGTAGAAACATATGCTGTGTGAGTTTATGGATGGGGAACAGAAATCTCAAGGGCTATCAATGCAAACCAACAAATGCAAATTAATTCACAGAACTGAAAACAACAACAAAACCTCTTTTGAGAAAATGTAGACATGCTACCTGCCAAGAAACATGATTACTGTAATTTTCCTTCTGCTTCTGGCTGGGAAGTTTCATATTTTGTAACAATGAAAATAGGAAATTTTAAAGTTATTTCTCAGTGATTCTAAAGTTACTTCAAGTTTTATGATACTTCCACTGCTATGCTGTATTTTAAGATTAAAAGAACAAAATCTCTCAGGATCAAAATAAAATTATTTGACAACAAACTGCTTGACAGGTAATCAAAAGGCACACATTTTGTTTTGTTTTTGTTTTGTTTGTTCAGCCCCTAACTTGCCAAACTAAGTTGAAGCAATTTATTAGTTCAGTGTGGGCCCCAGTTCCTATGAAATAAATCAGACAAATGAAAATTAATAAGAGTTTTTAAATAGAATTCATTATAGTAATTTTAAGGTAAGTTTCTTTGAAGGCATCTATAAAATTCCAATATAAAACATAGACTACAATGATATTTTTATGAAAACAGTGTCTGTAGAGTTTATTCTATGTAATCTCAGAGGTGAAGTTAATTCAAACTGAAATATCAAATCACTGTATCCCTAATCCCATCCTTCTACTTCTAACATCTCCGTTGATCCTACATACTTTACACATTAAAGGGTCATTAAATCTTAGACATTTTAAAGGCAAACTGCATCTAAATCATTCATTCTATTTTTCTGGGGAAATCTAAAGACTCTTCCACATCTCAGATGGTGATAGCAACTTCTAGACTTCGTTTTTAGACGTTGCCTCTTAAGCACCATTTGTAAATAGTTTAAATACACTAAAATGTGATCAGAGAAAAATATCAACATAAATAAGATAAAAGATAATAAAAGAGTATGAGGGTAGCAGTTCAATACATGAATATACACATACTCTATATGTTTTTCACATACTATATGTGCTCTATTTTTATGCATACATATTGCATGTTTATACATACATTACTCATTTACTCATGTTTATTTATCCTTACACATATATAATTTTAACATGAATTAAGTATATAAATATAATAAATATCATACATTTTACTCAATATTCTGCTTAACAATGGTACCTACCTTTCCACATAGACAATAACATGCTGTATTTATTTGCTTATCAATAAACTTGTGACAATGCATGAATACATTATTAAATAACAAATTCCATATAGCTAGGCATTTGCTTGCTCTAATTTTTTTTACAAGTATAAAGTTTGAATTAGCTATGTTTTTTTAAAAGATTGATTTATTTCATATATTTCATTGTTGCTGTCTTCAGATATAGCAGCAGAAGGCATTGGATCCCATTACAGATGGTTTTGAGCCACCATGTGGTTGCTGGGAATTGAACTCAGGACCTCTGGAAGAGCAGTCAATGGTCTTAACCGCTGATCCATCTCTCCATCCCTAGCTATGTAGTTAACTACATTTCCTTATGCTTTCATTTATTTCTGCATAATGGATTTCTATAAAGACAGTTAAGATCTTTTAATAGTGTTAAACGGCTTTCATACCCTGAGTACTCAGAGAAGTTTAGGCACAATAGTAGTTACCAGGAGAGGGGTTTTCCCCATTAACATGTAAGTTTTGTTTTGAATACATTTAACTCTCTGTATACAGTTCATCATTGTTAAATATGTGGACTGTATGCAGCATCCAACCTCTAGAACTTATTGTGCAGCTGAAAGAGTCTGTGCTCATGTGAAAGGGTTTGTTCTTGGTGGTACTGCCTTAGGAGAAGAATCTTACTGATGCACAAGAAAGAATTTCACTTCTTACCAAAAGTTCAAACCCACTCTTTATGTGAAAATTATTTTTGGCAAGATAAGATGTTAATCTAAAACCTAACTGGAGAAATAAGATCACAGCTCAATAAGCTGCTTTTCACACCCTTTTATAATGTGCTTCCTTTCACCTCAGCCTGTGGACCCCACAGTAACAACAGCTTACCGATAAGTAGTCCTTTAGATAGTAATTCAGTTTCGTCAATTTTATAATGGAAAAAGTTGAAAACAAACACCTGTAGACATTCTTAACTTATATAAAAATAATATCCAACATAGTATATAGTAAGAAAGTTCAAAACCACACTGTATCTTCAATAAATATTCCATACCTAATTTATTAGCTTAGACCACCAAAATCTACTTATAAAATCTATTTATAATTTGGATAGAAATGTATCCACTTACACAGAACATTTTGAAAACAATACCATCATAGGACTACCAGTTAAATAAGAAACCCAATTAACGTGCACTAGAATAATGGACTTGAACTGCATATACTCGCTGAGAAGCAGATGAAGTAGTGAAATGAATGAGTGTTCCCCTGACAGAATGCCCAAGTTCCTGACGTGGTCTAAAACTAACACACAGAACTTGTTTCAAACCAAAGTGTCCTTATGGCAAGAATTTTACTCTTTTATCAGTCTTACTGAGATTCATCTTAGAAGAGGTAGGGGCAGGTTCCAAGTGACAGGAAAAGGTCATGAAAAAGAAACGGGAGCAGGGTTCACTGGAGAAGCCTACCAAAGCTTGGAAGAAACAAAGATGCAAGGAAGGCGAAAATAATCTATACTAGTTTGGGGATTCGTTAGAATGTACAAAGAAGTAAAGTGTAGGGTGAACGGATGACTCACCACTGCAATGAGCCTCTGGAGGGAGGAAATGTTGTGGAGGACAGATGCTTAAGCATATAGTTTCCAGTTCTAGTGGCTGCCATGACGGACACAGACACACACAGACATACACACACAGACACACAGACACACACACATACACACACACAACTTGACAGTTGACAAAGAAGGAAGAGAAAAAGTAGTCTTGAAGTTGCTGTGTAAGGATGAGTGGTAGACATATAGTTGACTGCCTACAAAGATGTCCTGAAGACAGCTGCTTCTAACCAGTGAGTGGACTCATTTGTATACATATTCAATTCAATACAAAAATAATGAGGCCAGCATTGAGGACTCACAAAAATATTAAAGCAACAACAGTTAATACTTTTTTCATATATTAACTGAAATCAGTCATTACAAAACTCCCTGTTACTGAGTTCAAATTAACATCTGGAAACCAAGGTTGTCTTACTATTCTGACTTCAAGGTTGTTTTACCTCAGTTTTTCTTAAGATACTTTTTAAACATATCTTTTTAAAATGAAGATTTGAAGTAAATATCAGTATACTTCAAGATGATATACTTGCTTAATATGTTGGGTAAATGAGTTAATATAAATCTACTTACACTCATAGACAGTTCTATAAATCCAAGACTGTTCTTGTTAAGTTTATATGACTGCATGCATGCATATGCAAGTATGTCTGTTTATATACAGATAGTTGGTAGTAGATGCACAAATATGTGGAGAAGTGACTGAAAAATTATATATCGGAAACATGAGCCCAATTTATGAAAGTCACAATGAGCACAATTTATTGTACTATAAATGAATCAAGCTCAAATGTTTTATGTAATATATTTTAAATACTAAAAGCTAGACATGATATGGGGATTAAATTTTGTATAAATATAGTAATGATCTGGAAAGACACACTGTACAATTCCCCTACTTAAATTATACTTTTATTCAAAAGGAAGTCCCATACCCATTGTATCTGCTATTATAATATTCCAGCCCTAATCAGCCAAAAACTTATTTTCTATTTCTAATGTTTATTCAGGTCATTTCATACAAATGGAAGCATATAACAACTTTCCTTCACCTATCCTGTTTCCAAGGCTCAATCAAGTCTTCAGAAGGTCTTTTCATTGCTCAGCAATGGTCCATGCGATCGATAAAGCACATGCGCATTTACTTGGTAATGACCATCTGGGCTGTCTCATCTGAACCATGATGCCATGAACACTGAAGGATACTGTGAACATTGAGGATCTCTAGTCTAAAGAGATCATCAAAGGATGGATGGTCAGAATGACTGTGTTTGGGAGCATTTCAGGGTACAGATTTTAGGGATAATCATGTGGTAAACTATTAAACATTAAAAAATCTGAAAAACATCCAAACCTTCCGGTCCAAGCATTTTAGACAGGATTGGACAACTTGTGTGGCCATGTTTCCCTTTCCCATAGCTATCTGCCAAGCAGTGGACTGCTCAGTCATACACTGAGTACATATTTATCTGTTTGAGGAAACGAAAGAGTCTCAGTGGTTGTGGCACTTTACATTCTCATCAAAAGCTCACGAAGTGCTAATTTCTCCAGTTCTCTAGGGACCAAAACCTGAGATTTTTTTTTTTTAATCTTCAACCACATCCATTTCAGTGGTCACAAAATGTTATTTCCTCATGGTTTATAGTCCCATTCCCCTGGTGGCCAATGCTGAGAATCCCTTCCTGTGTTTACTGGGCACTTGTCTACTGCCATTTTAAAATCAGGTGGCTTTTTATCAATGGGTTGCAGAGTAGTACACACACACACACACACACACACACACACATACACACAATTATGTATAATGTATAGGATACTTGTAGTGAGAATTTTGGTTTCTTTAAAAACATAGCAATATTATAGGAATATGTTTTAGTTTTAATTCCAGATGTGGTATATGAGCTGCTTCAGATTGTTCATAGCAACTGGACTTACCTCGTGCTCTAGCAGGGGTCTGATTTTGCCAGCTGCAGATAGTTTCTGCAGGTCTTTAACATTTGGATATCTGGGGACTCTTGAAAGGGTACAGAAATGTTAGAGCCTCCAGAGGGGCTGCAGCCCCTACAGCAGCTCCTGCTGCTGGTTGCTTTGCTGCCATTTGTCAAGTGGTCTTGTTCAAAGAGAAAAGAAATTGGATATCCTGAAGACAAAGATCAAATTTGCCCCAAGGAACTTGACACCCCTAATCAGCAGGAAGTAAGTTGTCTAAGGATATTTTCCCCTCTACTTTTTTTCTCTCCTACCTAATGGTAGGGGTTGAAAGGGAGGAAGAAGAGGGATGGTGAAGGGTTTAAGAAGGAAAGAATCCACAAAGTAGCCAAAAAGTTTGGGCTATAGACACTTACAAGATTTGAGCTTCTGAAACTCTGCATTATCTTTTTTATATTCATTATGTAGTCTCTTGTTACTTCCAAAAGTTTTAAATTTGGATTGTGTTTAATTATGCTTCTTTTTCTTACTTTGTGGCTTATACTTTAGGTCACGAGTGTGATTATTTTAAAAGTGACAATTAACTTTGTTACTTTACTATCATAAATAAAATATTTGTTAGACTTCCACACTGAACCTACATTAGTCATTTCCAAGCTAAAGTACAGAGCAACTGGTGTTCGAAAATATTTTATTTGGACCAAGCATCCACACTTACTGCAGTTAATTCTTTAACTAGGAGAATTTTCCCAGTTATCTGCAATACATGCTGCAATAGACGTGCTTAGCTTTTCCAGGTGGGTTACTATAGTAACAGAAGTACCTGCTTGAATGCGTACAATTCACTATTTAAACAACCAAAGGTAGTTGCTATAGTCTGGAAAACGAAACAAGAGCAGTTAAGCAGGTTTTCAAATCCTCACAGACAGACCAGTCTAATTCTTTTTTTTTTTTTTCAGACTTCAGTGACTCTGATCTTGATCATCCTTTTTAACTTCTGGGCAAACATGAATGTATTCTGTTATTCTGCTGTCTACAGTTCATAAACCTTAGTTGATTTACCCACAAAACAAAGGGGTCAATGAAGCTGTCTGGGTGAAACTCCTCCGACTTTGCAGAAACTGTAGACACATAATGCCAGTGCACAACCAGATGGTCCTGGTTTAGAAAACTCTTTACAAGGCAGGATGTACAGGGAGGCAGAGTACCTGGACATTGGCAAAGTCAACGCGGTTGAGGTCACTGAGCATCTGGTTGATCTGGGAAGTGTTCTGAAGCACTGCGCGGGCTGCCTGGGCCAGGTGATTGAGCGATGTGTATCTTCGCAGAGTCTGGGCAAAGGCACTTACAGCGGCAACCTATAGAAACCCAAGCAAGCTGCGGTGGGCTGTCTATTTTCTTCTTCTTCCCCCCACCCAATCTACCTCCTTTCTCTCATAAAATCTCCAAATCTTGTTTTACTTCAGTCAAACAGTTTTCCATAGAGACATTTCAAATTAAATTGGTAATAGTTTACTTATAAATTATATAGCATTTAAGATTCTTAAACAAAGAATTATTTAGCTTTGAGTATATTTAGGTCAACACTAAAACAAACTCTCACACTTTTTGACATCTGAGTGTAGCAATAACTAAGCCAGTCTTAGAAGTTAGTTACCAAACCACAACAAGAAATTACATTGTTTTAAAAAGTAGAAAAATGTTTGCTTTCATTCCCTCCCCAACTCTTTTTAGGACAACTAAAACTAGACAAGTGTGAACCTTTCTTTCTATTTGGAAATGCAAACAGTAAAGATGTCTTACTGTTACTTGGACAAAGCACTTCAGAGCAGTGCCATTCACATCTACTGCTATGACTTCATTTAGACCGTTAGTTTACAAGTTGGTAGACTTGATGGTAAAACAAGTAAGTCCAAAGGTGTTATACCTAATACACCTCATCCACATTGATCTCTCAAAACCCTCCTCTCCGTTTCCTTCCATCCTCCTCTGCCAGAAAGGCTGCCCTGGATGACAAGCTTCCAGGAGGATTTGATCAAGGGTGGGCACTGTTAGGAGACCAAAGGGCATGACCACAGCGGTCAGAGTGCTTACTCCTGATAAGCTGTGTTCTCCTCTGTTCTAAGGCTACAGCTGGGAAAACATGGAAAGATGGTTCCTAATGCTGGGAACTTCAGCCCTGACATGTGCTGTGACTTCTCACTATTCTAGCTGTGCTATGCTTAATCATTAGTTTGCTCAACTCTGCTTGCATGTTTAGAAATCAATTCAGTTATTCCATACACTCTTTCCATAGACATTTTGTTTCTTTTCTTTCTTCTCCACAACTACTATACTGAACTGAACCCAGAATGTTATGCATACTGGTCAAATTTTCTATTGCCCTAGCTGGTGATCATTCGCTTTCTGAATGAGACTAAATGAGCTAGCCTATGTTGAAAAGTACCAAAGATAATGAAAAGAAAACTCCTAAATAAATATCTAGTTTTCATGATCTCATAGAAATGTTACATCCATAGTAGTTCTGACTCCAGTCTTTCAAAATATGCCAGAAGCCTTACCATATTGATAGGATTTTATGAGTATATTAGCACATATTTGAAGAAGCGGTAGGTTGAGTAGAATAGCTGGTTGACACTGTAAAGGAGGCTTCTTTGAAAGTGAGAAGTATTAGGACTGTGTGGAACATCTGAGCAAGCTCACGTACTCTTGTAGAGAACATGGTTTACCGGTTTATATGCACTGAATACAAACTATATCCCAGGCACCAGGTTAAGTGTCTCATACATGTATTACATTGTTAACTACCATCTCAACACATTATATTTTAAAGGGGTTAAGTGGCTTGTGCAAGATTGTACAGAAACTCATTTAAGTTGTGAGATTTGAACACAGGCATTTAAGTGCTATTGCCGCTCAGTAGACATCTCTTTCCTCAGTCAGGGTAAACTGTCTCACTGCATATATGCAACAGCAGAAGAGCAGAAGCTGTGCTCTGCAATGGTAACCATTCAGGTTACACCTAAAATTCAGCAAGATGGCCAATACTACAGGCAAGCTGCTGAGGCACTCATTTTGATGATACTGAGAAGGGTGTGGTTTCAACAATTTGAGGCATTGTTAGGAATACAACTGATTTTGAAGGTAAAGACATACTCTTGGAGTCCAATAATAGATACAGTTACTTACCAAAAGCCACAAATGTGATTTTTTTTTTTTTGGCAGAAAAATGAAAGTATAGCCTCTGTCCAATCTTGCCATGGGCATATGCCAGAAAGAGATAATGTGGAATCTGGAATCCTCTAGGCATTGAGTAACAGCTCTGAACTACAGAAGCCATATGCTAGTTCTGTATAATATACTGTGTTGCTTATATATAAAGATCAGTTATGAGAAAATTATTGAAGAAATAGTTCCTTAAGCAAGTGTAAACAAACACACACATGCACACACACATACCCCACAAAGGACGTAACTCTACCTTGGTTTGAATCATTCTCTGTGGAATATTGTTCATGGCATTTGAAAGCCAACCTTCTAGGCTTTTAGCAAAATTTCGAATGGCTTGGGTCAAGGCACCTGAATAATAAAAAATAAAAAGTAGAACAATAAAGATATGCAATACCATTAACTTTAAGCTGGAACAAGGAAAATATGTTTATGCTACTTTAACAGCACAGAAGAATTTCTATTATCTTCATTGATTAAAAAGTAACATAATTTCTAATTTCTTAGTGCGTCTAAAAATACTAGTTTTGGCTTGTAAAGCTATCTTGCTCTCAGACACTGATGGCACCTGCTGGAAATGAAGACACTCAGAACTCTGTCCTCATGCTCACATATACCAGTTGTGAATAGATGGGGCTTTCTGCCTTGGACAAAACTTCATCAAGAATTTTGTGATCAAGACTAAGAATTTGCTTTGTAAATTTTTCATTTTGGTCCTCAAATCAACCTTATTTTATATTGTTGGTCAAAATGAAACACAGTGCAAAGTATCGTTATTGTCTCTATGTATGACATTTTACCATAAAGCCTATATAATTGGAATATTTATCTTTGTCAAAAATAGAATAAAATGTATAATTGTCTCAACAAAAGGTTCAGATTACTATTTGAATTTCACATGGTAGGTAGAGCTAAAATGTGATACAACTGCTATCACAGGAGCAATGTTACTAAGATGTTACCAAAACAGCCAACCCTAATGTGTTAAAAGCCTGAAATCGGGACAGGTCCCACGACAGAACTTTATAGTGGTCATAAAGTGATCAGAAGTACCTTGAATTATCATTGCTAACTATGTTACAAGGAACCTGCTCACTGAGTCTTCTCAATGTGTCATTTAGTCAATGGTATTTAATTTCCTCGGTGCCTAGGGCTACACACTGTAGGGACTAGATTTAGATGTTTAATAAATGTTTAAACATCCATAACACAAAGCTACTCTGTCGATTCCATACTATCTTGTAGCTACCCAGATCTGTGGTATACCATGAGAGAAGTCCTACTTTGGCCAACTGCCCCTGAGAATATAAAGCAGGATCAAAGTCCTGGGCTTTCCTTCTTATGTTGGAGTGAGTCTTACACTATTTGTTAACTTCTGCCAAAACAGGCTTTAGAGGGCCCTCAGTCTATCCAAATTACTTACAAAAAGATATAAAAATTAATACCCCAATAATAAAACAACTGAGTCTTTGTTGTTTAACTGGATAGTAGAAATTGAAATCGCGTAAATATTGGTTAGGAAAGAATGCATATTCTTAACCAGGTTGAACTGGAAATTTTCTTGAGAGACAATGTTTTGGAATCTCTAAAGTGCCCCACCTTAACCAGGAGAGAAAAAAGAAAAAGATGTATCTGTCTGTAGTTTCATGTCCTAGAGTCATGGAGTGCAGGTGTGAATGGCAATGAAAAAAGTGACAAGCATTAACAGCCTTTCTGAAACTCAGTACAATTTTGTTTAAGGTTCAATATGGCAATCTATATTTTACATTTGTTCCCTAATTAGTATAACAATAATTTGATTTAAAAAGACCTCAATAACTTCTAATGTCATTTTAAAGCATTTCACAATGCTCTCTTTTATCTAGACAAACTTGATGGAAGGAGATTATAATATAAAAAGATACACTGGGCATATTAAAAACTTCAGGTATTTACTTTTTTTTTAACTAAATGATGAGCAACTGGGAATATAATGGAGTGTTACCAGTTGAGTTCTTATTCAATAATTCACACTTAATTTCCTTTTTCCATGTTTTGGGTGAATGTATTTTAGAATATGGGCGCTTCAGGCTGACTTTAAATTAGTATGATGTGCAGACTTTTTAGCTAAAAAAAGAAATCCCATCTGGACAGAAAATGGTAGAGTGAAGTACTAGTAGCCAAGAAATACAATTTTTAAAAATAAAATTAAGTTTCTTCACTCTGTAGGGATTCATATAAAACAGGACTTGTGCAGACTGATTCTGACAGCTTCTAAAGACTCATAAATGGATGGTTTGGTATTTAAAAATCTATTCCAAAGCCGAGCTGCCTCAGCCTGCTCAAGATCAGTATTAAAATGCACCTCACCCAGCAACAGCTATCTACACTGTATTTTAAGCATTACATTGTTGAGCCTTACTGTAAAATGGAAATTGAATTCCCTAAATTTCTTTTGTAGAGTAGTACATTAATATATCTTGTAATTTCAGAAAAATAAAATGATTTCATTTTCTGGTGCATGTACAGACAAATTCTTTGACAGAATAACCAGCTTTTATAATCACATCTTTCAAAAGACAAAGGGCATATGTATTGTATACTTAAAATTCTAAGGCTTAAACTAAACTAAAATTGATGTATGACTTAAATTAGTAAACTGCTAAATTCTTATGATGGCAAGACAAAAGCACACAGTTTCTGAATTGTTTAATGAATATTGATGCTACTGACTTTCTTCGAAAAACAAAGCACTCACTGAAACGCCTTCTTGGATCTCATGAGAGAAACTGTATGTTGGTAGCCAGATGTCATAGGCTAATGAGCTAGCCTATGCAACATCTTTTAAACATCTCTAGAGATTAACACTTGGAGCACAAGGGGCAGGAGCGTAGAGAAAAAAATCAAATTCTCGAACAAAAACTAGTGGAAATTGACATAGTGAAGTTTTTTATGACAATAACAACTTCTATCAAACTTTTAGTCAGGTAACCTGGTGTGTATAGTGTCGAGTACATTAGCAATTTATAAAGTGGTAAGATAATGCCAGTGGGATTTCTTTTTACTTCTCCTTCATATATTAATGTGCATTGATTGGCATAATATGTGAATGTGTATAAGCATCTCATTTAAAGATAGTGAATGGATATAAGAATTTATACCTTTCACTGAGTCTTTGCACATGTAAATATAAACACACAAATGTTAACATCCTCTGCTTTCCTTCCACTAAATTTATATATTTTCTACAATAATACAACAGATAAATGGTGAATAGCATATATTTAAAGCAGATAGCTGCCCTTGTCATGAGCGAAAAGACTGCTTTTTACTTTATTAATGTCAGAATGGAAACAGTCCCATTTCTTTAAAAGTTCAGTCACTAGTAAGGCCATTGGATATAGATATAAAGTAGTGCCAACTCCCTCTCACAATATGTGTAGTAGCATTTATATCTATAATTATGGAAGAAAGCTTTGTTTGCTGCAACATGGTTACTGAAAAAGATTATTTGAGTGATGTACGCAATTTCCAGTCAATTCATAGTGGGTGCAATGCTTCTGTAGTTACTAGTTTTTCCTCAAATCCTAGTTAACCATGAGCTAATAATGGAAATTGAGTTTGTAGTTCTGAAGATGACACAGGTAATAGAGTATGTGCTTTTATACAGGAATTGAACTCTACTGAAAACCATAATCTACTCATTTCTAATTCTAAGCAACAATGAAAGGGAATGGTTTGCTATTAGAGATTTGAATATTTTTTGGCTATATGCAGAGGACTTTAGTCTTGACTAGAATAATTTTGCATGGTTGACTAGACTATCAGTGTTCTTGCAATTAGTTTACTGAGGGTGTCATAGCTGTAGGTTAGCTTTTAAAAAATAATACTGGAAAAGACTGGAAGACAGGTCAGTTCCCCTTTACTGCAATGTCACTCTACGCTTCTTCATGCAATATTCTCTATGCTATATGGTTTTTATTTTACAAATTTAAATAAAATTAGGATCACTCCTGATTGCAACACCAATCCCCCAAACTTCTTGGGTGGTATGTATGAGAAGAAAAGCATCCATAGGTGTCTCCAGTTGACTTACTAGGAATGGGTCTAAGGACGTCGGGGATGAGAATCTCCACCAAAGCCTGGTACATCCCATGGTCACAGTTACACATCCATTTCAGGATAGACTCATGTTTGCACAGAGTTATCAGCTTTGCTTTCGGAAGTCGACTTTCTATTTCACTCAGATTGCTGGTGTGAATAAATGTTGCAAATGAATAGATGGCAAATGAGGATAAAACAGAAAATGGACTTTAAAAATAATTTATCAAATATTACTGAAGTTAGAACTATATCATCATTGCACTGGTGTCATATGGCTGGATATATATATGTATATATGGATGTATATATATAAACACACCCCAAAGCTACCTATGCACATTAATATTTTCTTATGGTCTGAAAGGCAGATAGGATAGTAATCCACTAGCATCACATAGAGCTAATAGTCCCCAAATCAATAAAATGGGAGCTACACACACTAAAATCTCAGGAGAGCAGTCTGTGGTTTATTCCTAAGATGGTCAAAGCATCAGTCTAGTCAGTGTTATCAGGTGACGTTCACAACTGGTATACATATATATCTCTAGTTCATTAGCTGTGACATCTATTTCAACATGAAAATACATCAGAAAGACATATTGATTCTGACCTTGATTCCGTAATGGTAGTGCCGTCGGTTGGAGTAGATGGGGAATAGCGCCAGAATGTTTGCCACAGTTTTTCTATCAAGCTAAACTGAAGATTCACAACAACGTCCAATATTGCCTAGAAACAAAATGACCAAACCATGATACTTTCTTTACTTCCCCTGGTTCTTTTACTTTACCATAAGATGTTTTCTGCCAAAGTGGCTTCATTTCCTACATGATATAAATCATCCCATATGTATTTGACCCTTTCCAGGACTGATACCTTGTTTGCAGTGACTCACACTAGCTACATGTGTCTACTGAACCTTAGAAATCTGGTCACTCCAAAAAGCAATGTCTACTGACAAAAATCACCAAAGACACACTGCATATTCAAGTCTTTGTAAGACACAAAGGACAGACAATACCTAACTAGCTATTATATTAATTATATATTGAAATGACAACATATTGCATTTTGGAGATATAGTAAAACAATGTAAAGATCAAACAATACTTTGGTTAATCATTTACATTCTGAAATACTAACACCACCATTATATTCCAATGATTCAGTAACAAAAGCAATAAAAATAAGTAGTGATGATTCGTCTGTATAGTGTGTTCATGTTGACATGACAAGATTGAACTTTAAATACTCCAAAAGAAAAGTGTAAACACTAGCTATGAATGTTTATATTGTTTCCATGTTGAAAGCATATACTGTACTCAGACTGTTTGGTAGTTTGTATGATGTGCCCCAGTATTCCTGGGCGTTTGAACACTTTGTCCTCAACTGGCAGAACGATTTGGGGAAGCTCAGGAGGTGAGGCCTTACTGGAGGACATATGTCACTGGAGGCAGGCTTTGAGACTTTAAAGACTTGCGTTGTTTCAAGTTCTCTATGTTCTGTGCTTGTGACTCAAGATATAGACCTTTAGCTTCTTGTTCAGGCTGCTTCGCCTCTACTAACTGCCATGTCTCCCTGCCATGACAGTCCCCTTGGGGACCATAAACCAAATCAACTCTTTTCTAGGCTTTCAAGTCATGGTGTTCTATTATAGCAATAGAAAAACAAAAAACAAACTAAACAAACAAAAAAAACCTAACATAGACTAGTAAAGTAATCAACTGAATTTTGTATACTTCAGATTATTAAAAATTGAAAAAAAAACAAAAGTTAATATTTTATTCTTATTCTTTTCTCTTTTGGTGATTTAAATTACATTCCAAACATAGAAAAGATAATATAATCATTGATAAACAGTTTATGTATTGTATTTCTTTAATGACATGTAATATTTCAAAGGCTTGGAAAAGAAATGAAAATTAATAATCTGCTTATAATCTTCATATTCTATTTTTAAACGATAAGATATAACATTAAAAACCTATTAAATATGAAAGTAATTAATATTTTATATTGCTTCCATGTTACATTGCATATCAAATCCAAGCTAATGTAATCAGAACACTCCCACACAGACATGCCCACAGGCTAACCTGATCTAAATAATCCCTTGTTGAGACTCTTTCTGGATAATGCTACAGAACTTGACAAGTTGACAACTGAAACTGTTACACACGTGCACATACACACAAACACACACACACACACACACACCCCACTGCCTACTCCAGACCAGGAAGGACAAAGAGTTCCAAACATCTGTATTCTTAGGTGAATGACCACTGACCATCCAAGAAGGTGGGGGTTAGGAGTGATCAGTTACTCATGTGGAAGATGGGCGATAAGGTTGAACTAAGACTTCCAAGGCTGTTTGTTGATCGTGGGTCCTTGTCAGGTAGAGTTAACATAAACGGGAGTCAAGAGGCCTCCATGCACTGACACCTTTCTGGGGTGAAAAGGGGTATCCACAGAGTTGTATTTGGCTATATAATAACCTGAAATCCCCACCAGAGCATACAGTTTTACTTACACTTCTTTAATATAGATCAGCTTTAATTATGGTTTCAAACTATCAAGTCCTTGCCTTGAGTTTTAATTTAAATTTAGTTTCTACAACTGTCTTCCAGGTGTATCAAGATTCCATTTTCTTCTGTTGATGATATTAGTAACTGTCACTTCCTCTACTAACTTCTGATGAGAACATTTAATTTCAGTATGCCACTGAAAACACTTGGTAATAGAACCTTCAGATAATGTCAAACATAAAGCTAAAGAAAATTTAATTCTGTGATTATGCTAAATGTTAAAAGGCTAAAGTATATGCAGTATAAGTCAGTAAAATGGGTTTGATACCATCAATAACTGAGAACTGAGAAGATTCCCATCAGGATCTATAAAAGTCCACAGAAGGCAGAGAAAATGAGGATAACCTAGCGTCCATCTGGATTTTTAGGAAAAAGTAAACTGTAACTTCATAATTCTAGCGTATGTGCTACGTAAAAAGGTCTGGCTTGAAGGATGTGATAGAGAACACCCCGAGGCTAACTCAGACATTAAGCATGTGTGTGGAAGACATGTTCTGAGAACTAGCTACACATTGTCAGATAGTGAAAATGAAGACATCTAATTATAAAACTTTGAGTATGATAAAAAAAACCCCACAAAAGTCTTGCTCTGAAAACAAAGCAAACATATGGAAAAATCAAAACCTTCTCCAGAAGTAAGTTCTTACAACTGCAGCTTAGGCATATTCCATAAGATGTCTTTAAAAATACTTCGATAAATATATTACAAGAATTCCAAAAGGCAGAACAATCCTTCCTTAAAAAATAAACCATAGAAAATGTGAAGTGAAATATGGCAAAAATTTCAGTGCATCATAAATCAAGTATGTTCTAATTAATCTCCAATGACCTCTGAAACGATGCCAACACCAGCCTCATATAAGGGAGCTTTACAATATTTAGGCAAGTGGAAGTTAAAATATATATTCTCCTGGTTTATGGCAAATGACTACAAGATTCAATCTGAGATCTAGGCAGCTTTATTTAAAATTTTGAAGTGTAACAGAAACTGACATTAGAATTTTATTTTCTACATACACCACTCAGTTCCATGAGAGATGGGATGAGCACTGATACCTTAGATGCAAGTGGGGTTCCCTGTGTGGACTGTCATATCCTACAAGGATAAAGTTACATGCAAGTGGGGTTCCCTGTGTGGACTGTCATATCCTACAAGGATAAAGTTAGATGCAAGTGGGGTCACTGTGTGGACTGTCATATCCTACAAGGATAAAGGATGAGTGCTCCCATCTCTTCACACAAAGTATATTTCTTCATTACAACAGGAACCTTCATGAAAATGTTATAACCTAAAGACTATTTTAATCTTATTGGAGGCATCTGCTGCTTAGAAAGATCTCACTGTATACTCGTTAGCAATGTAAATAATTATACTCCAGTTTATTCTCTGAATAAACATGAGTCACACAAAAATCTGAATTATATTTGTATAAGCTAAGCTACTTACAGGCAGGTTAATCTGAATACAGATAACTGAGGAGTTTTTTCATGGAATACAACAGTTGTAAATTTTTCTCATGTACAAAAAGACAATCTAGAAACACCCCAATACTCAGGAAAATATCAACGGGAGATGAATACTAGGTGGCTTATCCCATGCCAGAAGTGTTGGAAATGAGTAAGACGAGTGGGAGAACACTCAATCTAGCAGGATGTTGATAAGGAGAGGGCTTGTCTCTGGTTGCCAAAAACCTAGAACCTCTGATGAGTACTTGGGTTCACTCAAGCAATCCTATTACTGGACCAAGGGAAAGAATCTATACATGCTTTAAGCTGAAACTATTTATTTTATCCTTCACTGTCAACTGTCAGGAGGAGTTGACTAGAAATCATAGGCTACTCTGTAATTTGCAGGCAGATCATAAATACTCCTAGGATAAAGATACTTAAAATTGAAAATCACTTAAGAAAACTCTATGCAATATATTAGCTCCATTCTACCAGGTAAATTTAAGATACATTAATGTACTGGAATGGAGAAAGTCCTCCTCATAGACAATGTCACAGCTCTGACATGAGTGAGAGACAGTAGGAGTAGAGTTATAAAACATCAAGACTACCCTAAGCAACCACACCCTCAAAATAATCTATGTGTGCTTTAAGCAAAACTTCCTATTTCATCTTTCATTGTCAACACAGAGGGAGTTTCTAGAAATCACAGGGTAATCCTTAAATTGCAGGCACACTGCAATTGTGTGCCTAGGATAGTTACTTGAATTCTAAAGTCAGTCTAAAGAATTCCCCAAGACCAAAAGAACTTATTAAATATTTTTACATTGCTTTTAATAGAACTACACATTTGTGGTATTCAAAAGGGTCCATTTAAAAACTGACTCTCCTGAACATGATGTTATAAAGTTTTGCATTAGTTATTTCTCTATTGTTGTGATGAAACACCATGGTCAAGACAATTTACAGAAGAAAGCTCATTTGGGCTTATGGTTCCAGAGCATTAGAGCCCGTAATGGTGGAACCAAGCACGGTGGCAGGAGAGATAAGGAAAGGGCTCATTTTGCATTGCAAGCACAAAACAGACAGAACAAACAAAAAATAGTAGGCCCTTTAAACTCTTAAGGCCCATATCCAGGGACAGATATTCTCCAAGAAGACTACATCCCCTCAGCTTCCCCAAATAGCACCACTAAACAGGACAAAGTCTCCAGATGCACAAGACTACATGGCACATCTCACTCAAACTATATTCACTTCCTGACCCTCATAATAGCACAGTCATATCATAAAGCAAAATATATTTAGTTGAATTTTTAAAGTTCTCATAGTTTTTCAGTCACAACATTGCTCAAAAGTTCAAGCCCAGAGTCTCTTCTGAGATTCAAAGCAATCTCTTAATTATAACCCCTTATAAAATCAAAATTACACGCTTCTAATACATAAGGGCACAGAATATATATCACTATTCCAAAAGGAATAAACAGGCCAATACCAAGATAATACTGTATCAAATCATGACTGAAACATAGCAGAGCAAACATCAAATTCTCTAATGTCACTAACTGATGTTCAAAGGCTTAGGTATCTCTGCCCCTCCAACTCTATTACCTGTGTCCTCTCTTGGGCTGGTTCCACACCTCAACTGCAGGTATTCTTGGCAGGTGTCTCATGAACCTGCCATTCCCAACA